GTGTCCATCTCCCACGCGTGTGTTCATTAAAATCATCGTTTGACTTAACCCGGCCTGACCAGTGTTGTTATTGTGGTTTTTTCTCTTGTCTCCATCCCCAATATTTTGAACCTTAACATGCCCTTTCTCTCTTCTTCTGTTAACTTTCTTCCCGTCTTCTCTTTCTTCTTGTCCATTCTGATTGTAATAAATCAAAATCCTAATACAAATCTAATAAAATATGACTTTCAAGTGGACCAGTATAGCAAAAGCTGCAATGGTCCAATTGGGGGAATAAATGTAAATTTTGTTTGGCCTTCGGACAATAAATCTGTTTAGTTCAACTATACTGCAACCTGCCACATTAAGGTTATATGCAGTTTCCAGTGCAGATGCTCTTCCACAGGACTACATCACTACGAGTGAGTCCTGAGTGCTCATGATCCTGTTGCCTCTTCACCAGGTGCCATTTCTTGGACTCATTTTTGTAGGTACTGCATACGGATGAACAAGGTGCCCCAATCAGTCAGTATCTCTTTCGGAATTCTGACTTGGGAGATGACCTGAAACGGTGCCTGTGCCACAGTTTCTGTTGCAGAAATGCTGGCCAGTAGCAATGCTTCAGGATATTGTCTTGCGGTTCGCCACTTGGCATTCTGGGCAGGATGCACGTCACTGGCGCACATCCCCTCAATGGTCAGAGTTTTATATCCCATGAAAGGATATTTTCACTAGGTGCAGAAGTGGATCAGTGAAATCACCACAGATGAGAACAGCTGACTGTGAGCACACATCATCCTTGGCACATTTCCATTTGTTTTCCAATTTTCAAGTAGGGTTATGCTTTGAAGCTAACTGCACAAGTTGAATGACCCCTTAGTTTCAACTAGAGTCAACCTGTGTCCATGGTGACATCTGCTGGACAATTTCACTACACCAGTACACTACAGTGACACAGACAAGCTCTGCACAGTTCCGAACAAAGCTACTTATTATACCAGACTGTTAATAATTATGATCAACACATATTTAGGAGGCCAGAAACATATTGGAACTGTTAAAGAAAGCAGTCTGTGACTATAGTGATCAGTGTACTTCAGCAAAATTCTCTCTCTTTTAATATTCCTGTTGCGTTCAGTAACTTAATTTACAAAGTAAATCATTCTGAGTCTGCTGTATTCGTTGGAATAACCAAACATGTTTCCAGCTGTTGTGAGATCAGTCTGCTTTGTTTTTGGTTGATTTTGAAGCTTTCCAGGTGTTCGTTTCAGCTTCGTGCTAGAAACTTTACTTTATACTGCCGTGGATGCTGTATCTTATAACACTGGCATGATGTTTTACTGGGTCATAGTGAAACTGCATTACTCCTGCTCTTTATGAGATTATTACAGCAGAAGCGTCAGTGGGAATGAAAAAAAGGGATCACCTGTATTTAATGGATGTTTTTCTGACATTTCTTTTAACAGTATAAATATATTTATATGGTGTTATATGAGTAATGTGTTATAGTGTTGATAAAGTAACTTATTGCAGCAAATAAAGTTTTCTGATGAAAGGGAGTAAGAGCTGAAAATTCCTGCTGTTTTATTTTTTCATTGAAAGCAGAGAGGAGGTTTTTGTTGAGATATTCAGCTGTGAGTTTACGCCACAGATTACACTTTAGATTCCAGTGTTTGAGTGCTTGCATAATCCATATTGGGCTTCACAATCCACGGCAAAAACATAGCGGGGGTGCTGGTTAATGAAACATTGGAATAATGGTGCCCGGTGTACAGTACCTGTCGAAACTGGGGTGAAGGTCAGTGGCAATGTTCCTTATCCCATAGCCCAGGCAATATTGTGATTCACATTCGTATATACGCAGCTAATCAACGTCGTTGACAGGCTATGACAGCGTCCTTATGTGCCGACACTGGTGTTTTAGTTAGCAAAGCAGCGTGGCTGATGTGGAGTGAAGCCACGTTAATGACAACGTGTACAACCATTGGAGATGTGAGCAGGACAGACGGAGCAATTGACGGAAAAGGTGTGGACTTTATACCAGGTTTTTAAATTGTGTTGATAGGCCACATAAAACCAGAGTTATGATAAAAAAAATGCAATGTTTGGTTTTCTTCCTGAATACTATCGTTGTTTATATTTACTGCGGGACGAAACAGTAAAAACGGCGTTTTATAAGGGAAACGCTGGAAAGCCTGTGAGCAAAAACGACACCACCCCCCAAATGGCATTTAGTTGTTTAGGAAGGGGGGAAGTTTAAGGAGTGACAGCAGTGTTTTAAGATGTGAGAGATTTGCAACGTTTAGCGCAAATCTTGTGTAGTTAGTGTGTAGTGTAGTCAATAGTTTTGTTGTGTGTGTCAGAACAATGAGGCGACTACTGAATGTTACAGGTGTTACAGGAGTGATACATCTCCTGTTGTTAGGCTTAAGGTATCAGACTGTTTTTCTCCTTTATCTCATAGTGGACAGAAATAATTTTTGGAGTGGCACAAATAATTTGTGTTGCATCAAATTTGATGCAGAACACCTGATTGTTCTGTAAATAGTTTGAAATGTTTATTTAAAAAAAAAAACGCCTTGGCTGCATTTTTAGGTAAACAGCTGCAAAAAACTTGCATAACTCAGTTACTTTTTTGGAGAAGTAACTGAAGGAAACGGCTTCCAGGGCCTAATCCGTGGATCGACTTCCTCCGAGGCGTGGACGTCTATCAGCAGAGAATGTCCCTTAGTCTGTAACACAGTCAAATATATTCTCAAGTAACATTCAAGCATGCCATTCAGCGTGTTAGTACGAGCTCGGGAGCAGCTTGGGAGAACAAGAAAACAGAGACTGCTTCAGGTTGTCTTCCCAAATTGACTCAACTTTATTCTCAAGTACAACAGTTTATATAGAGGGTAAAATTCATGAGACAGCAGATTATCAGTTTAAACCAGTACAGACCAAGATAAGGGAGCGTCTTCCTGCCCTTGGGTGAAGAAGCATCCTTTGTATAGTTTATCAGTTCAGATACAATTGTGATTATCTTAGCGACATATTTTCAAGGCACGAAATAAAGAGTTCTTACATTAGTGAAATCTGAAACAAACCATTTGGCCTTCAACAGGCGTCTCCTAAGAGATTAAGAAACTAATGTAGCTGAGGGAGTGATCTCTGTGGTATTTCAACCTTGTACCAGCCTGTGATTCTCACACATCAATTCTTGGGTCAAAGAGAAAAATAACTAAAGCAAAGGGGCCTTATTGAATGACAGAGTTTTCCTGCATAATGTCACTATAAAACAATATCCAGTAAATGCTACCATGGTACTAAAATACCTAACAGTAACTATATAATTAATTGCCCAATATTGGTCATTACTGTATTTTGCAAACAGAGGGTTACAGGACTCTCTCCCAGGCCAGACTCCTACTCATAATACAAGTCAGGGCTTTATAAAAAAAGAAAAAAAAAAAGTTGTGTTTTCAAAATTGGAGTTCAAGTTATTTTTACTTCAAGTTAAGTTACTTCCAATAGTGTTAACATACTACACAGGTCATGAACAAGATTTTTTTACATTGTAAGTGGGCTAAAGCAGTTAATTAAAAGTAGTCTAACATAATTGTAAATGCTGTAATTGGATTATTTTAATAAGCCATGTAACTTGGATGGATTCGATGCTGGCGTGACCACAGTGCACACGTCTACTGTTGCTCACAGCGGTCCGCTCAGGGAGTTTATGTGTTCGCTCAGACACATGAAAAATTAGAGGGAACAATGGTCCGTGGCCTTGGTTTTTCTAACACCTGCGCTTCAGAAGCTTCCCATCCCTACGAGCAATACACCATAATGCTTTTTTGTGCACTGCATTCATGGATAGAGCCTGTTCAGTGCACAACTGCACGTCCTCATCAGTTATTTAGTGAGCCAGAACTACACAATACGTGTTACTGGAACACTACACAGTAAGTCATTAAACTTGCAAATGTCACGAAAGCCCCGAGATTACTAAAATTATATTATTCATAAATAATGTTATTTAATTATTTATACAAAATTCCTCGCATTAGAAGACTTTAATTGTGAAAGTAAGAACAGGAACAAGCTCTGCGTTAACATGTATTTCCGGTACGACGTCGACAGGTCCAATAGCAGTTCCTAGAACACCCACAGGGAACAGTTCCACAGTAGCGGAAGGAGTAGTCGTAGGTCTCTTGTATGCCGCTTTCTGCGTAGTGGCTGCTTGGATGAAATCGTGAATCTGATGTGGGACGTTCTGGTTAGACGTTGCTTCTTTCGGGAATTTTAAGTCTACGGACCAACACAGTGTTCATCACATTACAGCGATATTTTAACGGTGTTGACAGAGATTAATTTGTCATCATTTTTTAAGTTAGCACAAAGCTAACATCAGCGTTACCTTGCTCTAACCATGTCTGCTTCGACTGGATGCTCCCCATCGGGCCAGCACTCGGGCCTTGTCCCCAGTATGTCCATGTTTCGATGGCTAGAAGTGCTGGAGAAGGAATTTGATAAGGCTTTCGTGGATGTGGATCTGTTGCTTGGAGAAATAGATCCAGATCAAGTGGATATAACGTATGAGGGTCGGCAGAAGATGACCAGCCTCAGCTCTTGTTTCGCTCAGCTCTGTCATAAAACTCAGACTGTCTTCCAGCTCAACCATAAACTAGAGGTTAGTATTTCGTCTAAGAAGAGCGGTTAATATTAGGAAGCGAGTTTCCTGTTAATGAAATGATCACGCCGACTCCACTCAAGATTCAACAGAGTGACTAATGCCACAGAGCAGCACTGGTGTTTTCAGGGCTTCAGTCACTCCTGTGTTTTGGTGTCCTCCCTGTGCTTCTGAGGGTTTCTATCCATCTGTGGCACCGACCTGTAAACTGTGATCACATGGGTTATGGTATCCACAGCAGCCTTCGTTTGGTCATTGAAACCAACATAGGTGTTAGCATACTTCACATTCATTTGTCTTCTAGATACAGGTGTCTTTGACCGCTTTATTAAATGTCCTTTATAATTATGTAGCGCTAACGTTTTTTTAAATAAATACATGAATTTCAGCATTTTTCGATTATTACGTCATGGCCTTAAAGTGACAATGATTATCTTTTCTTTAGATGTAATCAGGATTGTGTGGTGTAATGTCTCGTTTGTATATGGAGTGCCCTTCATTTTTTTCCTGTAAATGTTAACATAAAACTAAAAACACTATCACTGTCATTCACTTATCCGTATTGTGTCTCTCTTATTAATGTTATTATAATAATTTGTGTGTTTTGTTTCAAGAACACGACCTGTCATTACTAATTTGACAAATCAAAAAGGCTCTCACTATAAAGACATGATTAAAAGCCTGAGACATTTTTGAACAACACAAACCTAAAGCAACAGGCTAATCCGCTCCAACACATATTATTGTTTAGGCCGTTCAAGGCTTCCGTACGTTTCCACAAAGCTGTCAGACTCGGTCTGTAAGTCGGCAGGCCCCAGGCTTCTTTTGAATGAGAGGGGCTTTAAAGACTAAGTCAGCACCTGAACTCCTTGGCATTTCCCCAGCAATGTTTGCTGTGTAATTAGGGTGTGTTGTCATGTCTAAAGAAGCTTTGCCATTTGTGAATATTGTCATTATGGGCTATATCGGTGTGTAACAATGTTTAAATAGGTGATACAGGTGCGAGTGACATCAAAGTCAAGTCAAGTCATCCGCATGAACCAGTGGCATTTCCTGCTTAGAGATAACCCTGCTTCTTCCAGCTTAGCTTGTTATCATGGTGATTCACCCTGCCAGCTGTTAAACTTGTTAAACAATGCATATACACTGTGCCATCCATCTATCAGATGGAGCAACCCTCTGTCCTAGACTTTGAACCTTGTTTCTAAATGTTTTCCAGTGGTGGAACAGAAGTGGATCATGGAGGGGTCAGGACAGATGCACTGAGAAAAATGACTAAACATTAGGGCTGAACGATTATGGAAAATAATCTAATTGCGATTTTTT